GAGATGAGATTTGAGCTTCAGTTTGAGGGAAGTCTTATCTCAGTGATAATGAGCTTAGATTCTAGTCTCTGTTGGGTGTGGAACTAAAATCCTAACTCCATTCCTCACTCATTCTAAGACTTTTTTCTCTGATTTTTGTAATGACAGGTGATTTAATGTCTGAACCTCAGCATCCTACTAGGTAAAATGGAATTTGCAAGATCCACTGCACAGGGATGTTATTAAATGTGATCAGTTCATCACTAAATTAAATGTTACAGAGATTAAATATAGAAAAAATATAAGCTGTAAATGCATATTGCAAGGACCATAAATTCTTTACCACTGGATGACTGACATCTAGCAATGTAACAACAACAATAAAGCAGATCATAAAAGAAGTTCTTGTTAGTATAATGTAAATGGCTCATTGAAACTGGGAAGATAGGTTTTTAATAAGTTTCCAAGATGATACCAATGAATAATGCTTTTGAAATGGTCATGTGAACCAAAGGAAATATTAAGAATAACTATGCATGCTGTTCTAACCTTTAAATTAATTTATTATTTCATAACAAGGTCCCTATGAGGTAATTACAAAACTTTATATTCATTCCCAGATGTGAAAATTGAGATCCAGAGAGGTTAAGTAAGCAGTTCAAAGTCACTTGACCATAAAGGGATAGAGCCAGTTTTTAAAACCTGAATTCAATCCAGGCCACATGTATGTACTGCATTGTCTTCCAGCGGTAAAGCCAGGCATAACCCATACACATGCCAAATTTTCATTGAGTATATATTACATTCCAGACAATATTCCAGGCAGACTAAATATAGAAATTACACACACACACACACACACACACACACACACACACACACAGTAACGAGGAGACAGACATTAACAAATTCACCAAATAAATAATGTAAATTTCAGATGATAATAAGTGCAACTAAACAATGACAAAGCTGTGGATTAGGAAAAAGAGTGATGGGAATATTGCTACTAACATAAATAAGGTGGACATACAAACTTCAAAATTTTTCTGAGGAGGTAACATCTGAGCAGGTATTTAAATGACGAAAAGAACAATCATGTAAAGACCTAAGGAAGATTTCTCCACACAGATAGAATCACAATCATCAAGATCTTTAGATGGAAACAGATTGGATTTTTTGAGGAAAATCAAGGTCAGTGTGGCTAGAAAGAAATGTGTGAAAATCCGATGTGAGGATGTGATATTGGAGAGAGGAGCAGGGCTGATATTGTGTAAGGTTTGTGGGTGAGGAGAAAAGGTGTGATTCTCACCTTTTGGAAGATTTTAAGAATAAAAATGATATGGCTTGCTTTATATTTTGAGAAATATTACTCTGGTTACTTGGAGGAACACAGTGTGGTGAAAGTGAAAGCTATTACAGTGGTTCAGCCATGGAATGATACAGGTTTGGACTCAGATTCAGCAGAGCAGGTGGTAACATTTGATTGACTTTGAAATATATTTTTAGGGAAGCTCGACGAGGACTTGCTGATGATGCTGAGAAAAAAAAAACACAGTAATTAAGTAAGCCTTTAGAACTGTTTTGACTTGATAATAAGGAAAATTATAGGACCAATTAGCTAAGATGAGGAATATTATGGTACAAGTAGCTTTGGTTCTGAGGGAGAGGGAGCAAGGATGCTGAGATGCCAGCTGGACAGTTAGCTATGCACATTGAATTTAGTGGAGAGGTTCTGGCTTCAGGTTTGGGAGCTGTCCATTGATAGGTAATATTTAAAGCCATGAGTCTGGAGGAGAGGTTAAGAAGAGGTCTGTTCACTGGCTATCCGAAATAATCCAATATTTATAGGAAGAGCCAGTAAGGGGACAAATAAAAGTTTAGACAATAAGGTAGTGAGAGCACAGGAGTATAATTTGTTGAAAGTTAAACAATTGACATCTTTGATGAAGGAAGCAGTGGCAGCTACATCCAATATTCCTGAAACGTCAGGACTGATGCTTTGACATAGCAAAATGGAACCTGCCATAACTTTGATAGAGAATTTTAAGATGATTGTTGAGATGAAAACATAATATAGGTTAAAATAAGAAAATTATGTAATAAAGGGGAGTTAATGAATATGCAATACTTCCTAAAATTTTGGTAAAACAAGATAATGAGACAATGATAGCAGGGAAATATTGGGTTAAGAGATAGATACACACACACACACACACACACATATACACAAAAGTGTCACTTGACCCAATGTTTCCCTGCTACGTCTGTGTGTGTGTGTGTGTGTGTGTGTGTGTCTGTCTGTATTAAATGTATTTGGGAAAAAGAAAGAAACTGATATTGCAGAACAGAGAAAAGATATACAGAAACAAAATCATTTAATGAACAAGAGAGTACAGAGTTTGGGTCATCATAAGTGAAGAGTTATTGAAGAATCTTGGAAAGGATGAAAAATTCCCTCACCAACTAGGGAGAATACTCTAGCAGAACCGATGGTAGGAAAGTGAAGAGGTTTTCACTTGACTGCTTGAATTTTTTTCAAGGAAAATGAAGGGAATTTAACAGCTAAAAATGAAGATATGGGAGAGAGGCTTTGTTTGTGTGTGCAAATTTGAAGAGATGATAAGATATTATGTTGTCTCAGTGAATAAGAAAATGTTTCCCCCACTGGAGAAATGTATAAGAATTGCCAGGAGGCTTTGAGAATGCACTGAGTACACGCTAAAAATTTTAAAATGAGATGAGGGAGTGTTTCTCCAGCCTTGTCCAGTTAGTCAGGTGTTGGCATGGAATGAATAAGGTGAGCAGTTAACCATAGTAAGTTAACCAGGGCTGGGGTTTTGCTGGCTGAGCACCAAAAGGGAGCAAAAAGGAAACAAACAAACAAACAAAAAAAGTTAAGGGTCTAAGAGAGGAAAAGTTAGTGTAGTGAACAAACTAATATTAGTATCTGCTGGGTGAGGAGAGAAGGGAGGGCATAAAGAAGCATGAAAACTAAGGGAAATAGTGAAATTGGTTTAAAGTCCCAATAGGAGTCGAAGGACTTTTGAAGAGGGATACAATAAATGACAGGGACACAGAAGAAGTACTGTTCAGAGAAGATTATGCTTGACACAGAGGCTTTGGAAGGGATGAAGTTAGTAGTGGCAAGATTCACAATATGACTGGGAACCCGAGTGCCGGAAGTGAGGGAGGTGAGATGCCAGGCTCAAGATCAGGAAGCAAAAAGCATCAGAACTCACAATTAACTGACTCCTACTGAATGCTCTCTCTCACACCAATTAACTCCTTTTTTTTTTTAATCAATAAAACCTGGCTAAACAAATGATGTTCTAGACAAGTTACTTACGTGTATAGTGTGGGGGAAAATCAGAAAAGCTGGCTTTGCAGGTGGGACCTGTTCAGTTGCACAGGTCCTGTATTTAGAAGGGCTCCCCATTTTCATTTTGCACTGAACCCCAAATATCAGCTAGCCAGCCTTGCAGAGGTTAGTGATTTAGAATTGTTATTTTTTTCACTTGGCATAATTTACCATAAGCTTCACTTTTCTCTATTTAACATGCCATTAACATTTTATCAAAGTTCATAATGGAAGTATTAAAGATCCCATCTGTCAAACACTTAACTTTCAATGTAAATTTCCTTTTAAAACCACTCAGAGTTAATAAAAATTGGGTGGAAAATGAGAAATTCCCTAACTCCAAAAGTGAATAAGCAGTAAATTAAAAAGATGATATAATTTCGAAGTGTGGGCCTAGAATTTTAATTCATACTTAAATGATGGCTTACAGAAAAAATACATTTTATTTCTTCTTATTAGTATATGATATGTTTATAATAAAAGGCTTAGGAAATAAAGATAAATAAGAAGATGAAACTGAAAATTATCCCTAAATTCTTAACAATATGCAACCACTTTTAACATTTTGGTGTATATCCTTCCATATTTTACTTAGGTGTTTATATGTGCATATTATGTAGCTCTGTGTTTTATTAGATTATATTTTAAAACTTGATTTTTAAACTTGATACTATATCTAGACAGACCTCATATTCTTGTAATTAAATATTTTTCTTAATATTTAAGTAAAATTTATTTATATTATATGGGTATATAATAACATTTTAAACACTCTTTCCAGGCTTCACTATTATAAACAATACCGATATGATAAAAGCATTCTTGTGTTTGTACATTCCTATCAATATAATTTGTGGATCCAAAGGTGCCCATTTTCAAGGCTTTTGATTCTTACTTTCAAATTGGTCTTTAGTATTGCATTAATTTCTAGGCTCATTCATTGGATATTAACACCTCTTTATAATTTTTGCCAGTTACAGACAAAATCTGTTTACTCTCCTTGTCTTTCTTGGTTCTTAATGAGGGTGAACAGGTTTTCATGTTTACTTGCTTTCCTTTTATGGTGGATGTCCGGTTAATTATTTTTGATCACTTTTTTTTCCCCTCTGGATGCCCTTTAATTTTTATTGTTTCGTAAAATAACTAGATATATGAGGCTTGATTTGCACCAAATTTCCTTTAATGGGAACCTCTGTCAAGGTCCTTCCAACATATTTGAACAGCTCTCCAAGGTTGTTTTTTTCCCAGTGGGGTGGTTTTAATATTCATTACTCTTTTTAAAGCTAAATAAAATATGCATGATTACTAGTTCTGATAATATCAATATCACATAAATAAGAAGATCCTGCAACATATCTGAGGAATGTGTGGCCAAAACACTAAGAATGAAAATATTAAGAGAAAAGTACTATATAAGCTCATGATATATTTCTGTTTTTTCCATTCATTTTTCTAAATTCAAGCAATGCACTTTGTATACTGAACATTCTGGTTATTTGGTCTGCTGTCTCATTCTCTCTACTGCAAGCATTTCACTAATATTCCCATTTTGAGTCCTATGGGAAACTTCTAGTTTATAGTACATCACTGTATAATTTCACAAGACAACCAATGAGTACCTAGAATTGGAATGCAAAATTAGGGCTTTGAATTAGTTTCTTACCCTCTCCAGTGTAATTTCTTCAAATTCATATTCAATTTCTGTCCCATTGACCTATGAATAGGAAAAAGAGAAAAGCATTAAATACAGATTGAGGAGGAGAAGCAACATTTAAAAAAGGGTTTGGGAATAAATTTTTCATTCTGGCTATGAATAAACCACATTTTATTGGTATTTATAATTATACATTTTCATTCAAATAAAATTTAATGCAACCTACTTTAAAATATACAAATGAGACACTAAAAATAAGCAGAGATTATTCTATGTCTTAGAATTGTGTGATTTTTTTTGCAGGGAGGAGGAACAATACAAAATATGAATTAAGAGTTCACAAAGAACAAATCATCTAGGAACAATGATAATTACAAAAGAAATAGTTTTCTCATATCTTTAAAGATTTAATAACTGAACATTAAAATATGACCTCAAAATAGTGATAATGGCAGCACAATCACGTTATTTTTTTATAGTAAATTAGCATTAAGAATGTCTGTGTTGGGCTGGGGATGTCGCTCAAGCAGTAGCATGCTCGCCTGGCATGTGTGCCGCCCAGGTTCGATCCTCAACACCACATACAAACAAAAGATGTTCTGTCCGCCTAAGCTAAAAAATAAATATTAATATTCTCTCTCTCTCTCTCTCTCTCTCTCTCTCTCTCTCTCTTAAAAAAAGAATGTCTGTGTCTGCTAAGAAATATCTTTTATTGGTCTAAGCTCAAGTAATTCATTTTCAATATTCTTTTACATAATTTGTCATAATCCCTGATAATGTAACCACACCCATGTACTTCAGCAGCAATAAGAGCAAAGCAGAATATGTTTTGAAATTCTTAGAGACTGTTTTAACCATCCAACCAAACCTTGAATTGATTTGAATTTACAGAAATAAATAAATACATTTTAAATGCAGTCAGGCACCTTAGATTTCAACAAATGTTGAATCATAGAGAGTTGCTTTAAAGTAATCCAACAAATATTCATTTCCCATTTTTATCTATCACAGGTTTTTTTCTTAGCCAGGCAACACCTCTGAGCAAGATAATTCTCAAACTGGCTGTTTTCTCTTTCTAATTTGTCTCTTGGCAACATCATTAGAATTTAGTAAACAAACAGAGAGGCTAATAGTTTAATTATAGAACTACAATTTTTGGAGGTTCTACTTCAGTTTAGTTTCCATCTTGGAAGAATGTAAACAAAGTACTTGCAGATTAAGAGCTTAATGGAAGTAAGAACTGGACAATCAGACCCTTCACCCAAGCCTGGCAAGAGAGAATTGATGAATGGAAAAAGAGTAAATGAATAGATTTATTTATCTGACTTACAAACGTGTATTTGCAGATACTCTTCTATGAGGAATTTGGAAGTAGTAGTATCAACTGGAGGTGTAATTGTAGTTTTATAATCAGCACATATACAGAATGACTATGACAACGGCCTAATGTGTGTCTGCTACTCACTCAGAGAATATTTTTGATTATTCAATTACATGAGTTAATTGGTTAATCACATTTTGCTGTGTTACTACATTATCAAACAGCCCTAAACTAAATTTGATTTTCTGGGCTTCAGCAACTTAATGACTCACCGAAAAGACTAGATGATGTCAGAAAGCTTCAGCAGCTTTATAGAAGTTTCTGTTCAGCACGTGTAACAGTAAAAAAAAAGAAAAAAAAAACTACAAAATCTCAGGCTCCCTGTATATGTATGTATGTATGCTTGCATCTGAATTTCTTGCTTGCTTTTTATAACCTCCTATTTGATAGGAGGAGGGCAGTGAGGGAAGGCTGAATTAATGTGATAGGCTTTCATTCTCGCAGTATGGCTCCATGAAGCTTTTCTTTGCTTCAGTGCTTCCCTAGAAGTCTTTCACATTATTAAAGTGCTGCAAACTGCAGAACAAAAACAACTTCAAAGACAGAAAAACAAGCCTCTGATAATAAATATCTAAAGATCCAGGGTGAAAGAAATTCTGCTGGGAGGTGCTTAAGAGAAGAATATTTTAGTGGCATACACTGCATAGTGGTAGCCTATTAACATCTCTAGAATCATAAATGCTGACTCTTAGATACATGTGAATCCTAATTGGCATTCCAAAATTCTCAAGTCAGCTAGGTGAACTATCCATCCCAGGCTTCTTTGTATTCCGTGGGTCTTTAGTTTCCAACTTAAGAAAATAGTGTCATTTGACTACTTCAATAGTACCCAAGGTTTTTTTTTTTTTTTTAAATATAAGATTAAATGATGCCATCCAGCATGAGTTCTTTTAAAAGTAAGCATCCCATGTCTACAACAGGATATGGTGAAGTCATAGAAGAGTGAACAGTTATTAGCATGGGTAAGTCAATATTGCAAACTTAACTGGTGAACATTTAAAACATGGAATCACAAGAGCCAGCGTAGGAGTATAAGAAAGAGATTTGAGAGGCTCCGGTAGGATAGCATGGACTACATTCTGCCTAGGACTCCTAAGAGAAGAAATTCTTCAGCTCCTTAGCAGAGATTTTAATGGAAAGGATGAGATAGAAGAACTAGGAATAACTCCTTTTTAATAAAAAAAATTGCAGAAAACTGGGCAGTGACATTCATGACCATTTGGTGCCTTTTCAAACCAGTGGACAAGCACAATATTCTTTCAGTATTTTTTCCACATTCATTTAGAGAGAGGTTGTTTATTGAGTGGTGAAGAGCCAAGGAATATCTGCCATAATTCACATCTGCCATAATCTTGTGCATCCTCATTCAGAAAAAAAAAATCAAAATTGTGTTGTGAATGGATCCCAGTGTTGTCTGGGAGAGGGTTTTTAGATAATTCACTTTTATGTGAGTTTGCCTTGATGGTCCCACTCTAATCCCAATCAGCTTTTCAATATATGACTTCCAAATAATGAAGTTCTCTTCCTGGAGAGTATATATTTTTTCTTAACCAATAATAATTACTGTGATGTTTGAGCCTGTTGGTAATGTTTTGTGTTCCTGATAGTTCGGGGTCTAGACAGCTGTTCCTGTTATTCCAGCTGGCCCTAACCATCACTTAGAGTGTCCTCTCTACTTGGTGCCTAAAGAAGCGAGAGCCCTGGAATTTTTTTGGACTCAGAGGATCAATACAATAAATGGAATTTCACAGTTTTCCCAGATGAGTTTCTCTTTAGATGCTTGATTTTTCTGAACCTGGTGGTTATGTGATGTCAGCTGATACGTTTCTATGGTGGACAGAAAATCAAATGGATACCACCCATTATCCTGTCCTATTCAGGGTATTAGCCTTCTCGGAACTATATGGCTGCTAGGTGAAGAGAGTAACCCAGAGCTCACAGAAAATAAACTTGGTACTTAAAGTTATGATGTCGTAAACTTTGAATATTTTGCATATCTTTCTCTCTAACCTTTTGTTAATTTTACTGTCTATTTCCCCTTTAGTTATGTAGCACGCTCATGTCTGGATGATGAAATAATTTGATTGTATGAGGTAATTTTAACTCCTGAAAAAAAGATATTTTTCATGAATAACATATGATATCATGTTTTAATGTTATTTAATTTTTAATGTTTTTAAATTAGAATATTAAGTAATAATGTCTCTGAAAAAATTTTTGCTCTTTATCAACTTTGCAGTTTCATTAAAGATAAGATCACAATGAACTCCAGAATGAATAATGTTTATACATTCCCCATGTGACATAAAAAATACTGAATCAGGGATATCAAAGTATTGACATCTTTAGAATAAACACAATTCCACCCAATGAACAATACATGGATTTTCATGAAATGCAAAAAAATGGTGATAGATACTGAGAAAATAAAGATTTTTAGATACATCCATATTCTCAAGTAATGTTCAGCCTTTAAAGAGGCACAGAGACACAAATATATTAAGACATTGTAGAAGTGTGATAGCTGTTATATAAAATAAGAGAAGTGAACTAAAGCCACAGCCCCACTATTACCTCATGCAAGGTCTATGCAGATCTGTTTACTCTGTTGTTTTAATTCCATTCCTTAGTCACATAGAATATGATAGATGCTGCACTAATCTTATCCCTATTATAAGTAATTATTACATAGTAGATGAAAATGATCTCTGATATCATTATTTTACCATATTACACTACTATTGGACTCTGGAAAAATGGTGATGGTAATGGAGATCAGAACCTCAGGTTCCCATGGTTTCTTACCACTTCCAGAGCAAGACATTGGTCATATAGTTTGCTTCATAAATAGCTGCAGCATAAAGCACAGGACCTGTCACATAGCTGCATGATGATTATGTAAATGAGTAAACGCATGAACCAATGAATCTCAGATTGCTAATGGGGATGCAATTTCTATTGGGTCTAGGCCTTTTGTAATTTCTAGTTTATATAACCTCACCTCCAACACTGGTTATTTTTAGGAACCCTGACTGGCAGGGTTATGCTACCATCACACACCACAGCAAATCTACATACACACTTGCTTGTATCTTCCTTAGTACTTTGCCAGTATTTGTCTTTCCCTTCTGTTAGAGGATAGCTTCCAACAAACATGTCAAGTTTTACTCTTTACACCTGAATTTTCTATACACTCTCATAAGCTCAGTAGGTTTGAATGTGTATTTCAGAAAAAAAAAAAAACAACTCAGATTTGAATCCTCTTTCCAACATTTATGTTGTGTGAGAATGTAGGCTACTTCCTTAATCTCCTAAAAACAGTTTCTTCATGTTTAAAATGGTACTAATAATTGTACTTTCTTCATATGGTTATTGTGAGGATGAAATTAGATAATTATGTAAACTACTTAACACACATATTAAGTGATCAAGAAATATAACTAAAATCCTATGCAATTATTTTCTGAGACTCTATGAAATTCTTGGGAGAAATGAAATTGCACATGCTAATTGTCTGGCACATAGTAAGTCTTCAATAGTTAGAGCCATCATTATTAGTTCTGGATAACAAATCTGTAAAGGTTAGAAGATTTATTTGATCAAATACTGAATTTTTGCTAAATTTACCCAATAACATGAAATATCAACTTATTAAGAAAACAAACTGTTGACTACAAAA